AAGATTAGTGGGAGGGTTCCGAGCTATTCACCGGGAATATTCATCGAACCTTAATTAAGTAACCACCGCTCTTTAAGACTATAACGCGAAAGATTGGGCATCACCCCTTATCTTAAGTTGGCCATCACCCCATGAGTTATATCTCATAATCACTTTCCTAGACACTAGTTAAAAGTTCGTTCTAAATACATCTCTTTTAACTACTTTAGGTTTATTTATCTTTCACACTAACACTATGTTAATGTCGATCTCACCACTCTATGGTCAATAAACTCTTATTGCCATGTCTCACAAAGTTTAAAAATGAGTTTTTTATAATAAAAACTATTCTCTAATGAGATAGAGATATAAACTTTGTAGAATATAGCACCCAATTGTATTGACATCTACAATTGGGGCACAACCAACATATCAACATATATAAAAGCAATATGGAATGGTAGTGGACAACTAAGGCAATAAAATGCAACTACACTAATTACATTTTGGCAAGCAATTTACAACTCCTTACATTGCTAGCTCTCTTGCAAATCCTGTATTATTACATTCACATATACATAGGACATGCAAGCCCCATTTATAATGGAAAAACCATCTCGTAGGATGGGTAATAATATTGTATTGAATGTAAAATAAAATCCATAAATGAAATAACTAAACTAAATAACCATACACCCCCACACCCGAACAAGGGCCTATACCCGTAGGCGTAGCCCATGATCGGTGAGCAAGTGCCAAAACCCGTAGGCGTAGCCCATGCTCAGGGAGGGAAGAGGTCAAAAAATATTACATTTCTAGCTATATTACATCAATACAATAAATACAAGAGAACCGTTGTCCACTACCATCTATAAACATAACATCTACGCAAGATGATATAAAATATATAACTTAATCAACATTAAGAAATATGCATCTATCTAGTTATGCAACAAATTAGAAAACTAGATAACATAGGGATTATCCTAACTCAAATAGGACTATCATGCTTCTAACATACAACTACACTAGTTGTAAATAAGTGTTTTATAATTTATACAAGTGTTTTTACTCCTAAAAACATATGAACCAAAAATCACATTTTTGAATCAACAACTAGTATAATTAATTACAAAACAACTTAAATAAATTAACTAGTTTCATTAAAACATCTTTTAATTAAACTAGTAATTAGAAGCAAGAACAAAGTCCTCTATGAGTTAGATATGCATGTTAAGATTTAATTAGATGGAACCATGGCTCTGATACCATGAAGGAAATTCATGCTAAATACATGCAAAATACGCAACGGAAGACTATATGTATAATTATGCTAAGCATGTAGAGAGCATGAAATACATAATAGGACCATCCTAATTAAATCTAACATAATCCCCACATTAAAGAGAGCATCCAAGAGTTAGAAAGTCATAATTTCGTAGCGTGATTCGATGGAAGATCGAATAACCCCTAGCTCTTGCTCCTTGTAGTAGAAAATCTCCTTGTAGTGGCTCTCCAAGTCTTCAAGTGGGCTTGATAAAATAGGAGTCTTCTTGAGACACAAGGCAAGATATCCATCCCAGCGTTCTTAAAATCCTACTACTTCCTCTTGCTCAAAGATTGCTAAAGTTTAGTAAAAGGAGAGCTCTCTTTTATTCTCTTATAGAAAAAACCACTTAGCCAATTTTTCATTAACCTTTCCATAAGAAAGAGAGCTCATATTTATAGAGTGAAATGTGTTCATGACATGAATGACTCATCCTATGAGTCATGTAATGAATCATCAAATATCAATGATTAATCTAGTGAGTCATGCAATGAATCATCTTATGAATCATTACATTTCAAAACCATGTGCTAATAAACCATGTACTCAAACCATACCACTAAATGACTCATCTTATGACTCATTATACATTGTATGTGTATTTCATAAATGAGAATACCAAATCAATATTGTATTTCATAAATACGATATTTTGTAATTTTTTAATCATTGATTAATAAGTCATCATATGACCAAAAAGTCAATGAGTTGACCAAAAGTCAACTGTTGACCAAAAAGTCAACTAGTTGACTAAAAGTTAACTTTATAGGAAAAATACTAGAAACATAGCATTCTGATTTTATCGATATACATAACCGTTTATGTGTATCCGGTAAAATCATATATGCGTATCAATCATACGCATCACTCTATAAATTATGTTTCATAGGATTCAAGTACGTGCTTGGTGTGACTCTAGGGCCCAACTTAAGAACTCGGTAGTGGATCATATCCACAAGTACAATAGAGGTGCTAGCTATACATGAAGACTACCCGGGTATAAGTTGTGATAAATGTCTGCAAGATACTTACATAATTTTATAAGGACCACTCAGTGATAATACCATACAGTCCGGTCTCTTCATCAAACCATGTCAAACTATTAAGCCTAGGGTATGGAAAACTGTCAAACCCTAATTGCTCAATTAGTGTTTGTAGATATTAAACTCATAACCTATAAGATCAAACTGACACTCAGTTTATCTTATTTACCTCGGCCAAGGATTTCCAGGCTATAGTTATATCAAACAATCTTATGACATCAACCCCTATACTGGGAGAGACGAATCTCATATTAGCATCTCAATATCTACTCATGCCTCGGGATGTACCTAACAAGAACCGTTATGGACAACTCGAAAAGAACTGTGGTTAGGTAAAAGTCTAAGTACACCTATACTGACATGTAAGATATTATACTCATGCCTCAGGCCAAGAGACTACTTTGTACTATATCACTTGAGAACTACTATTTGACAGTTAAGTATAATTACCAACTAGATGTTCTCAGTGAGTCGTTCAGTCAACTCATTCACCAATGAGTCACCTGTATACTATATCTTGATGTCTTACATCAATGATCTAAGAGATGGATCATCATCCTTCCAAAGAAGAAATAAAGTATACACTAGTCTTACCAAAGTGATGATGTCCCATTTCAACACCTCATCGACTAGGAACATTTTAGAATATACGTTAGCGACAAATCAGATCTCTTCATTACGATCATATCCGAAATATCTGATAGTCTAGTATCATTCTAAGGATTTTATCTGTATTAAAATACCAGACAAATCTGACCAAAATAGCATACTATTATTTTAAACAATGATGTTATATTCATATAGGTCCTGTTATAATATATAATTATTGCCTGCAGGGCACCTATATCCAACACCTTTTACTAAAGTTAATTTTTTCCCCTAAAAAAATCCTTTTGCTTAATGTTGATCTAACAATTTACAATAAGGGGTTGTTTGGTTCGCAATTAAGGCCCATGGAAAACTAATAAAACCCCTCCACTTCACTTTTTTTACGGGCCACCTCAGATTTTTTATTTCCTCGCGTTTTCTTTCCCAGCTTTATTTCGCTAGGGTTTTTCAGGGAAATGAAGCCGCAAATCGACGCCACATCAGTTTTTTTCTTCGTTCCTGATTCCCTCCCCGTCCGAGTGAAATCGACAAAAACTTTGCCACATCGGATTTCTGGCTTCGTCGTTGATTTCCTTCCGCCCCTAATAGTTACCTCTCTCCTCCCGCCATAAACTCTCGCCCTCTTCTTTGCCCCTGTAATCGAAGAAATTAAGGGAGTGGGTTTTGATCTTGTACCACCAATTTATCAGATATGATCTTTGTCGACGATGTTGCTTCCAAAACGAAGGTAAAAAATGTCTTATCTTTTTTATTTTTCGGATTATTAGTTTAATTTAGATCAATTTAGCAGAGATGCATGTTGCCCTATTCGGATTATTAATTTAATTTTTTTTCTTCGGTTCCTATTTCTATTCGGATCTGAGATTAGGGTTAATGATTGATAAGAAGTAGTTTACGCTGAATTTGAGATCTGGTAAAAAAATTATCTGCCAGGAGTAGAAATTTTGATTTTCAGAAAAATTATTTTATGCCTGTTTGAGATCTGGTAAAAAGTGGGTTTTGTGTGGAAATTGTTTAAAGAGATCTGAACAAGTTAAAAAGTTGATTTTGAGAAAAATTAATTTTTGGATGTGGGATTTTTTACACACAGAGGGGTTGAAAATTACTTTATGGTTGTCGATTTTGAGATCGAAACACGTTGGTTTATTTGTGAAATTCACCTTTTATGACTGATAAATAGTTTAATTTTAATTCTTGTTGGTTGAAACATTACTGGTTAAAGAAGTTCTGATTGATGTTTTTTGAAAATATGATTAATAGTTCGCTTTGATAATTTATGACTGAAATTTCGTATAAACTTGTAATTTTAGAATAAGTTTTGTCCCAATAATGGTTATTCAGGTTTAACGTTTGTTAATTTAGAATTAGCTTTTAAAATTAGTTTATGCTAATACCCAATATGAGTTTTGGACTAAATTGTAATGTTTCTCTAAACATAACTATTGTTATCATGCGAATATTTCTAACTTCTTTTAAAGTTTCTCTAAACATTAACACATTCTAATGATTTTTTTTTGATCTGCTACCTTTTGTCATTCATCCTTTAATCACTATTTTCAACTATAGCTTTTGTATAGTAATCACATCATCCAAAAGTAACTACTCTGAAACCATTTAACAAATTATTAAAGCTTCAGGGTAGAATATTCATCAAAAAACTTTATGGTCTATACAAATCTTGAAAAAAAGCGATACCAGATTGACAGAAGTGAAGAGCTTAGAATGACAAAGTGGATTTTATAGCTAATAAACCAAATTTGTGCATAGACCTTCCACCTGAAAACAAAATAATCAAAATTTTTAAATTATAAGATTATTAGATAGATTTAAAATGTTACTGTAGCGTGTTGTTAATAAGTTTTTTTAATTTAGGAGCTAAAAATTCATATATTTTAGATTTTTAAATGCAAGTTATGTCACTGTAGTATTTGTTGTTTAGATATTGTAGTAATCCATGTTTGTCTTTTGTAATTACGGTTTCGTTATGATTTTGTTAGAATTTGACTTAGTTTCTAACTAGATAATGATTTTTTGCATCGTAGATGGATAATGATGGTGATTGTTCTGATGAACAAAGTATCGTTAATATGGTACAAGGTGCTGCCCTATCCGTTTTAATTATAATAATTACTGTCATAAGGAAAATGCAAGCTAGACGTAAATCAATTCGTAATGGTCCAAATAAGGGAAAAAAAAAAGACAAGAGAGAGCTAGAATTGAGTACATAGGGCGAATTTATAATGATTTTAGTGATAGTTATGTAAATTATATTAGAATGCGGAGTGGTGCTTTTGTTAAACTAGCGTGTATAATGAGGAATAATAGTCTACTAAAAGACTCAAGGAATGTAACGGTGGAAGAACAACTTATCATGACACTGCACATTCTGGGTCATAAATCTAAGAATCATTGTGTCAGATCATATTTTATAAGATCAGGGGAGACAGTTAGTAGATATTTCAACAAGGTATTACAAGCAATTATTTGTCTGCGTGGACGTACATGAGACAAGCTCCCAATGACATTCCCCAAGAGATCATTAACAACCCGCTATACGACCCTTATTTCAAGGTAAATCTACACTTTAAGCACATTTGTTTGTATAATCAATGTAAGTAAATTTTAATTTAAATGTGTGATACACGTATTTTAAGATTGCATTGGAATGATAGATGGGACTCATGTTGATGCAATGCTTCCCATTAATCTTGTTGCACGATTTCGAGGCCGTAAAGGTGTTACACAAAATGTGCTTGCAGCTTGCACCCCAAACAAGCTGTTCACATATATTCTAGCAGGTTGGGAGAGGTCTGCAAATGATTATAGGATTCTTCAGGATGCATTGTCTAGACCACAACCACATGGATTGAGAGTCTAGGTCTGCAAATGATTATAGGATTCTTCAGGATGCATTGTCTAGACCACAACCACATGGATTGAGAGTCTATGATGGTAATTAGATGCATTGTCTAGACCACAACCACATGGATTGAGAGTCTATGATGGTAATTAAATAAAGACTTAACTTTTTATAAGTTTAATATTCAAACTTGACTTAACAATTTTCTTATAATAAAATTGTAGGCAAATATTATTTGTGTGATGCTGGGTACCCAATCATGCCAGGTTTCATTTCTCCATACCGAGGTGTTCGATATCATTTGAAAGAACATTCCGGTAAAACACCAAAGAATAGAAGGGAATTATTCAATCTAAGACATTCTTCATTGAGGTCTAAGATTGAATCTGCATTTGGCATACTAAAGAATTGTTTTAAGATTTTGTGTGCTAAGCCGCATTATCCTTTTCATATACAAGTAGATATCGTATTAGCATGCTCGATACTCCATAATTTCATTGCAATTATGGATCCAAGTGATGAGCTACTCAATGATGATCAATTTAATGAAGATATTGATGGTGAGGTGGCCTTCGAGAATGACACTAATTTAGTTGATTTTACTCAAAATCAAACCCAAAGAGAGCAAACTAAATCAAGAAATGAATGGAAGACTCTTAGGGATGACATTGCTTGGGCGATGTGGGTGGGTTACTATGATAAGTATAATCATGGTGTAACCATAGAGACATGATTTTTATTTATGTTCTATTTATGCTCATATATGTACTAAATAACTCTATTTTAACTATTTACGTTCTGCTTTAAATCTATGAATTCATGTCGCTATTCTTTCAGTTATCTGACTTTATCTATTTAATTAGTAATGGCTGATAATACATCATTGAGTGGGAGAGATAAGCAAAAAGGCAACGGGGTAGTTCCATCACCTTCCTAACCACCTCAACCCCCTCAGTCGGTGCATCACGGTGATGGTGGGTATTTTCCATTGCAATAGTTGTACTTTGTTCAACCACCTCAAGCATACCCAAATATGCCATTCCCTGATAGCAGCTACTTTCCAATGCACCATCATCTGGGGTCATATACAAACATGATGAATAATCCAACTTTGCCTCCACAATTTCACAGTCCGAATCTTAGTGGGGTGCAGCTTTCTCTTACTAGTGGTAATGGTTCAACTCTAGATTCAGGTTCCAAACGGGACCTTGTAGAAGAAGGGGTAGAAACGTCGCCAAATCCAAAGAAGAAGAGGAAAAAACAACATCTAAAAATAATGTTGAAGCTGGTGGTTCTCAAGGGAACAAACATTTTGTTCTGGGATTCCCGTTATGATGATGAGCTCATTCCTTTTCTTGCTGACTTAGTCAGAAAGGGTTACAAACCTGACAAAAGCTTTAAGAGAACCACTTTTCAAATGGCTTCTCAACACATTAATGAGATGTTTAACACAATTTTTAAGTGGGAGATTGTCATGCATCGCATAAAAACTCTACGAACAAGATTTTGTGATATGGAAACTTGTCGTAATCTTAGTGGTGCTGGATGGGATGATAGTACGAAGTCTGTCATCATAGATCCTGAATGTTTGGATAGGTGGATTGAGGTAAAAAAAACTTTGGTTAAAGAATAGATTTATTTTTTATTTCTGTTGTTGTTATCATTGAATTAATTAAAATATATTTTTCTCAGGACAAGATCTTTAAGAATGCAAAGCTTAGACAATATGTCAATAAACTCTTGAAGCATTACGATGATCTCGCCCTTATCATCGGGGATGATCAAGCTACAGGTCAATTTGCTAGTGATGCTTGGAAAAAATTTAGCAGTAGTGAGACCATAAATCTTGGAGATGAGGAGAACTCACCAACGCATTCTCCCCAATCTACTCAAGTACACATTTTAGATGATGAGGACACACCCCTAAGGAAGCACTTAACACATCAAGTTCTAAGGCTAAGTCATCCTCCACTAAGGTAAAGGCTCGTAAGACCAGCCTAGATAGATAGATGTATTTAGCACCAACGTGAAGTGTGTAAATATGCATTGGACCGAGAAGTTATCCACGGTCCTATATGCTCATTCACATGACATTGATGTTGCCAAGTTAGATAGATACTATCGTCACCTCTTTATGAATGAGCATGAATCTAGACTATTTACGGGCATATCATCGGTTGGTCAAAAGGAGATGATTGAGTCATTTCTCAACAAAGAGGATTGAAGACAGATACATTATGGGTTTTCGTGGTATTTCATGATTATCTATTAAGCACATTTATGTTTGAAAACTTTTTTAATTGTGGTTAAAGACTGATGTTGTTTGGTTTAGAGACAATACTTTTATACGATTATGTTTATTTTTGTGGTTGTCGAATAGTATGACAATGGCTAATATTATATTTTTATTATAGTAAATAGTTATTTGCTTCCATTTTGTAATATTACATTTCGTAGTGTGAATATTGTGGTGTACTAACATTTAAATTAAACTTGTAACTGCAGGATATTTATAAGTCACCATACAATTTACTAAGATGCAAGCAACCTACAATGTGCACACATTGTACTGGATGGCTATTGCTCTATATATTTTGTGATGTAAGTTTTCATGAAACGAGTTTACATTGGCTAATATTTATATTTTAGGCTATGATGATTGTCATAATATCTGAGATCAGCAACCTGCAATATCTATTGATATTGTATTGGATGGCTAACAATGATGATATTGACAAAATTCTGAGCCCTCAGTAATAATCAGTAGCCACCTGCTGATTGTTGGCTGGTTGTTCATTGTTTCTTGATGTTGTTGGTGTGCAAATGCTATTTTCGGTTGGCTTTGTGAGTATATCTACTGTTTGTGTTTAATTTAGTGTGCATATGCTAGGTTTCTGTATATTTCCTCCTCCTAGTGTGTTTTTTCCCTCTTCTTTCCCCACTTGATATATATTCTTCTTATTATGTCTATCAACAAATTTCCTCAGCGCACTGCCCCAGTTACTCAAAAAAGTATTTGTAAGACCTCAGAAGTTATCATTTATGCAGAACCCATGCATTAGACATTTTTAGACTTTCATCTCCCACTTCCCCTAGAGACTTGAAGTGCCTCTTTCATAATGATTGCAGTTTTTCCACTCGTGATATCATTTTTCACTTCACCATGCAAGAGTTCATCAATTTCAGAGAGTTGAAGATCATCGTTGACATCAACTTCATCAATATTCTTTTATATGCATTTGTCATCCACTAGGTTTAATGCTGCTGTTTTTGTTCTTTTGAGCATGCAAGAGTTTATATGCAATCACATGGGCACGTGGAATGCTTCTTACTTTTCCACTATACTTTTTTTATTTTGACTCTTGAACTTTATTTCCTGTTCAATATATGCTCCTTTCTGTCAATGAACGCCCCTTTGTTTCTGAAGGACAATGTTTAGTAACAATTTATATCTTGTAGTGTGTTTTGCGTTATTCTAATCATCAGATTTCGTATTTAAGCATCTGGCATAAATTACTTCTATGTACA